GGGTCCAACGCCCAAGGTCCAACGAATATTTCTCCTGAGATGGCTATCCCGCAGAGCAACGAAGATGTTCCATCGAGAGGTCCACAGATGTAGATTCTGCGCTACCGAGCTGTCCCCAACGAATTAAAATTCAAGTAGCTAGGGACAAGAGGGAAAGATACCGGTACAACATCCCGCGGAGTTTTCGAAGTGAAAGTCGAATAGAGATCTTGTGAGAAGTATCGCAGGAATGGAGGGAAACAAGGAGGTTAATTAGGCCCGGCGGCGTGCGGCGCGCACTCACATCGTATGATGAGATTGTCTTGACTGGGTATCGTGAGAGGTCCGTTCGAATCAGGCCCGGGCCCTCCGGAAGTTCAAAGGATTTTGGCAGAAGGAGTGGGAACGAGCATGAGGAACATAATCTCATTATCTGGATGTAGGTTCAAGCTTGTGCAGATCTTTGAAACCGCTTGTGCTGTCTTTCGTATGACGACGATGAATGGGATCCTTCCGGAATCACGGTTGCGGTGAGTCGTGGAATTTGAACTCGTACATTGCCCGAGGCGAGTGGTGGTTCAAATGGGGAGGTCAGCCGACGAGAACGAGAGCCATGTAAATTATCAACCAACGAGGATGTTTGACTTCACGAACCAAAAAATTGCCGACAATCATGAATACCAAATGACTCGAGCCCGGGTCGAACCGGCAACTTCTGCTGCACCGGAAACGGCAAATCGTATACTCATCGTAGTTGCGGACAGACCGTCGAGTCCGTATCCTGTGTTGATTGAAGCTGGACATATGACGGTCGAAACAGAGGGCATGGAGATGCAAAGACGAGCTCGGGTGACGCACGTCGCCACTGTTGAGTTACAGCCAGTTGAAAGCAAAAGTGATCGAGAACGAGAAAGAAATCTGGAGCCGAACGAATGGCTGATACCGATGTTCATTCCTTCGTCGCCAAACAGGCGGTTACGTAGGTATGGATTAGATATGTGGCCGTATTTTGGAGTACAGGTTGCCAATCGGAAAAGGATTCGAAATTGGAGCGCTTGCGCATCATGGAGTCCATAATCCAGGAAGTAGTCCGAGCCATTTTATTGACAGGTTGTGATAATGGAGAGCAAGAACTCGATTGAAGGAGAATGAGGATCGACGAGCAGCGGGAACACTGAAATGATGCCAAAGGGACATGTGGGAGGTGACGTAGGCGAGGGAAGCGGGCCTGGAGGTTGGTACCTCGTTGGACAAATAAAAGAACCCCTACCAATGTAATATTTGGTACATTAGAGATGAAGCATGCGTTGAAGGAGATAAATAATAGGGAGGCCGGATAAATTTGATGGCATGATAGATGCAGAGGATGAACGTCGTCACAAGAGCTTCAACTCAGTTCAAGTGGCACTTCGGTAGATTCTCGTCAGGCAAGATGCCGGTAGAACCGAGAGACATAACTGTACAAGAGACTTCGCAGAGTAATAGAGCCAGAATGAGTACCGAATGAGTGCTTAGACATCCGAGATAAGGCTAGAGAGACTGTGCTGTGGTGTCGTCGACAAGAATCAGTGATGACGTTAAAGCCTGTGCTCGGGCCGGAGTATCCGATCAATTCTCTGACTATTTCTTCCGTCACCTCTCCACGGGTTGGACCACGGCTGCCCTGGGTCGGAGGAATTTCGAGATCCACTGGCACATCCTGAGCGCCCGGTGAACTGCGCCGCTTCGAGTACTTGCTGGTCTTTCGCCGCCTATCCGATCTTTGCTGCATTCCGCGTCCTTGGCTCGCAGGCGCCGGAAACCTCATTCCTACAGAAAGACCTTCTGGGGCTGAAAGAACCTGCACAACTCTCCTTCTGCCATCCTGCCACTCTTGTCTTCTCTCGCAGTTACTCGAAGTTTGCGCGCTCCGATTTAGGGCCCCCGTTCGACTCAAGATCGATTTGCTTGACTTTCGCTTCGAGTTTCTTTCCATCATCCCAGGCATTCCAGTCGGGCCTATTGTCTCTTTGCGCTTGCGATGTTCTTGGATGTTACTGGCGTAGCCGCAATCCAACTCCCTTACGTTTACAACTCTGGATTCCCGACTCGATCCTACGGAGTCGTGCGTATGAGACTTCTCCAAATGTGGGCATCAACGACTCCGCGCGTCACATCCTATTCATGAAGCATTTTATATCTTTGTCTACTTACTCGGTATGGTTCGATCGTCCTCATCAATCGCGACTGACGCCTCCGCAGTATCTCTTAGACACTACCCTCGTTAATTTCTCTCTATATATCTGCGTCCAAAGGCACGACGTGTATCCGACTATACAGTACGCCGCATCCTACCTCAACGCGAAGTGACTCTATCAAATTCGTCCTTCCCTTGAAATTTCGCCTCCGAGACTCACTGCGGTTTCCCCCGGTCTCCCTCCTGGCACACGCCAAGATTCGTGGACCCGAAGACTTCAGATATCCACTACGTGCTAAACAAGGCCCAGCGGCGCGTGGCGCGCACTCGCCTAAGTTCATGAGGCAATGATAAATTCTGCGTGGGAGGTGTTCGTTCGACTCGAACCTGGGCCATAGATCAGGGGTCAGCATTTTTTGTTTATTTTTCTCATTCATGTAGCTATCTCAAGGATAATTTACGTAGCCACAGGATATCCAAGCCACCCACAATTCGAATGTGAATATTGCGAACCCTGCATCGTGCGGCATATCTACCTCCCTCATGTCATCGGTGCGTGTGCACTTCCTCTTTTGACTCATGCTCTTGGTCGATTCGAGTCAAGGAAATCTTCTTGTCCTCTCGATTTTATGCGATGCGAATTAGGTGTGACAAGCCCACTGGAAGAAGGTATGCGCTCTGAGATCCTATCGAATTTTTACTTGGTTCCAAAATCAAGAACCCAATTAATTCTGCTCGTCTGCTTCTGTCTCTGCCCAGAAGAGGTCCGTCAGGTATATATTTCGGACTTGTGATTACTACGACAACTATGATAGGAAACCCCGACCCTTCGCAAGGATCATTTCAACTGACAGCTATCCACAGTCATTTTCATTCTTACGTTCTGCTCCCACCCGAGAGCATGTAATCATGCCCAAGTTCACAACTATTCAAATAAGGCTCGGAGGCGTGTGGTGCGCATCCACTCCACGTCAACATGGTTCTCGGGTATACGTGGAGCAGTCCGTTCGATTCGGACCCGAGCCCTGACGCGCATGTGGAATTTTTTCTTGGGGTGAGGGGGATTTCTTCGCCGAAAGCGTGTCGACAATACCACCTATAAGATGCGGGTCTCACCAAACTTATTCAAAGGCGGCAACGGTCCACTCAATCAAAAGGTCGAGGCGGAGAAAGAAATTGTATCTCCGAGACCGGGCACGTTGTGTGCGAAATCCAAGTCCGAGTCGGGGTCTCTGAAATGTGTTTGCGGGGTTGAGAACTTGGCGAGTCACCGATGAGCCGAAAACTCATCGACATGTCCACAGCCACTTCCAACCCAATACCTCCGACGTCGTACACGGCGACACCTGCTCTCCGTGAACCTTCTCGACAAGGATACTTTTACAGGTCATCTGGGTTCAATTCCCAGCGTCGGAACTGGCGTTCGATGAACACGGCTCTGTTTTTCTACTTTCAAGTAGACTCCACTCGACTCTCGTACTTTTCTTCTGTTCCAGATCGATTTTTTTTTGACCGGGATTGCAGATAAGACGGCCCACCGCATCACAGCTTAGGCAATGGATATCATCGCGCATCCATGCATATCTCCTAGCATAAGAGCCAACTCCCACTAGATACCTCCGACGTGGTGCACGGCTCATGCCTGCCAGCAATCATAGACTCCATCCTGAGCGAGTGTCAGTAGTGAACCTGGGTTCGATTCCCAGTGTTGGAATGAACCCTTGCAGATGTCTGCTTTTTGAAAGCAGAGCGGCTCCTCCGATATTTCTCTTCAAATTTATGGCAGTAAGAATATTCTTTTTGGGGTTGTTTAGAACCTGGCGCGATTCACCATTGAAAGCTCGTGTCATATCCACAGCCAATTACAACCCATTACTTCTGATGTCGTGCAAGGCCTACGAGCACTATCAAAATAGTCCACAAGCATCAGCAGTGATCTGGGTTCGATTCCCAGCGTCGCATTCATGTACGATTTCTTGGCGCGTACCTTTTGTCGCCGCATCGAAGGATGCCCGAATTTGATTCTTTTGCTCTGCAGCACTCGACGCCCCGACTTGGAATCTGCACGGCGAGTAGGGCTGTTCTGTCTCTTCCAGATCTTGAAGCCTGTTCAATTTGTAGCAATTGAAATTTAGACAACTCACCCGCCTCACAGGTATGTGTCCGAGTGGAAGGCTCATCGACGTATTAGCAGCCAACTTACGCTGAAGACCTCCGACTTCGTGCGCGGCGCACACCGGCCAGCAATTCAAAGATCCAGAGGAAGTCGGCAGTAAACCTGGGTTCTGATCCTCCGAGTTTTTTCCGAAGGACACAGTATATCAGGTTTGTCTTACCGCTTCCCTGCCCTCTGAATCCCGACTTGGACTCCATTATCGGAGTCCATACGGAGAGCAGACCGGCTCGTCCGATATTTCTCTTCGGTTTTATAACAATGGAAAAAAATGACTCACCTCCCTCACAGATGAGCCGAACGCTCGTCCACATATCCACAGTCAATTCCTACCGGATACCTCCGACGTCGTGCTGCACGGTGCACGCCTGCGAGCACTATCTAAATAGTCCACAAGCATCAGCAGGTAATCTGGGTTCGATTCCCAGCATGGCATTCATGTATGATTTCATTCGCCCCATACCTTTTGTCCCCGCTTCGAAGGGTGCCAGATTTGAGATTTCTCTGCAGCACTCGACATCCCGACTTGGACTCCGCACGGCGAGTAGGCCTGTTCTGAGATTTTTTGGTCCCTTCCAGATCTGAAGCCTGTTCAATTTGACGACTCACACACCTCACAGTGTATGAGCCGAAAGCCCATCGACATATCCACCCCCACTTCCACCGAATACATTCGACGTCGTGCACAGCGCACGCCTGCCAGCACTATCAAAATAGTCCGCAAGCTTTAGTTAGCAGGTGGTCTGGGTTCGATTCCCAGCGTCGGATTCATGTAAGATTTCAGTTCTCCCGTACCTTTTGTCCTCCGATTGAAGGACGCCCGGATTTTATTTTCTGCGTTCCAGTGCGCGGAATCCTTGCTTGGCCCTCCAGATCTTAAGCCGAGGCTGCTGAAATTTAGGCGACTCACGCGCATCACAGGTACGTACGTCCACGAGTCCGGGGCATATCCGGATATTCGACCCCCATTTCTGTCCAGTACGTCCGACGTCGTGCATGCTGCACATCTGCCAGCAATTCTTTGTCAACTCACATCCGTGAGCAGGGAACCTGGGTTCGATTACCAGCATTGGACTATAGGTCGTTGATTGTCGTACCGTTTTTTTGGCTTCTTTTATACTTCGTCCGGGTCCTCCGAGGAATCGCAGCAAGGATCAAAGAGGGTTGAAAACAATCAGACGAGAATATTCGGGTAAAAGAAGTCGGGTTTAATAATGCCTAGAGTTTGTGAACGAAATTCTGAGGAAGTTAGCACGACTTCGCGGGTGTGAGTCTTGCCAAAAGGATCTGAAACTGCGAGTTGGACTACCCACATCCCATCCCGAATTCGCCACCAGGTACACATGAAGGGCTGACAAGATGTCTGTGTCTAGAAACGGCGGCCGAAGCGAATCAACTGGCGGGATAACCGGGTTGGACGAGGTGCGCCGCAGCATTTATGAGCCAACATTGTAGTATGGTGTGAATCGTCCGTCAGATGCAGAGAACAAGAGCGAGAGAATTTTGTTGAGACAGATTGAAAAGAGAGTCAAGTGGAAGGATTACTCTTCGAAAACAGTGTGCGAGTCGAGGTTTCCGAGTGGGCAGATTCTGCTGTATCGTGGCTGTAACGAAAAGATTGAAAGGCCTGGAATTAAAACAGGGTCGGAAGCATACAATGAACGCAAGACCTGTCATGGTGCGAATACAAGTGAGTGGGAGCGCTGGGAGTGTAGTTGCCACATACATTACTACAGCATCAGGAATGCGAAAAGGATGCCGGTCCGAGTGAATGGGAGAGAAAATAAAAGAATGGCCCGATCCCGAGTCGAACGGGAGCCCTGAAACCCGATAAAACCCATCTTACTTTGGGATGGCGAGCAGGTGCGTTCCACAACGCAATCGGACCTTATACAAAGGCAAATGAGCATGAATTAACTCCATTAAATAAGTCAGTTTTCATACTAACGGGAGCAAAGAAAACAAGGGCCGTCGCGAGAAGAGAAGAGTTTGAAGTTGGGTGGAAAGTTGTGCGAGTTCTTGCCGCCATTCCTTTGGAGTGACGCGACGCGAGGGAGATGGCGCGCACGCTGATACAAGGGGATCAGTACGGCGGGGAAGGTAATTACCAGACCTTAGAAGCTGTCCGGGCATCGAGCTTTTCAAGAATTATACCTGCCCTTTCTGTATAAGTGAGGTTGTCGCCTGTGGAAAAATCAGCGAGCTCTCTTGAAGGCGTAAGCGCGAGCCATATTAAGCCTCAGGCTGAGGGCTTTGTTCGATTTTGCGGACGGCGCGTGGTACGTTTGAGATACAGCGGTGGACTGGAGGTTGTTCGTTCTTAACTTGAGCTTGCGCAGAAGAGCGGTGGAGGCGGGAGGAGAGTCGGTACCGGTGCGGCATCTTACCGGCATCTCATTTGAATCCCACTGTGCTATATCCGACGATCTTCGAATCCGTGGTGGTTAGCGCTCTCTTGCGCAAGCTCAAGTTCAAATCCAACCCCTCCGGTCCAAAGCCGTATCTCACATGCACCACGCGTTGTCCGCAAATCGAACAAGACCTCTAGCCTGAGGCCTAACGAGCGCTTCCGAGTCGTATCGTCAAGTTGGCGCTGTGTCGTGCGTCTTGGGGCGTGTCGTACGCTCGCTTGACTTCGATCGCGCGGGCGGAAGCCGGAGCGGATGCACGTCCTCCATACCGTCCTGACTAGCATCTCATGCAAATTTTGAAATAAGGGGACCGCGATCCGGTCAAGCAACACCGATAATACTTGGGCGGTCCAGGTGCGTCTCCCTCCCTCCTCTCCCTCTTTCTCTCCCATCGCAGCAGGTGGGCCACCTTCGTGAAGCGCGCGCGTAGGTCGAGGTGAGGATCGATGTTGGTAGGGCGCTAAATTTGATTGACGGACCGTTTTGTAGTTCTTGTACACAACATGTTCGCTGGGACGAAAAGACAAAATGTTGGTCCGAAATCGAATGTGTTACATACGGTGTTGCTCATTTGACTTGATATTGAGGCCATCTGTGCGCTAAATTTGCTAGAATTCAGGGCCCTGGCCACACGGCCAACACACCATGCGGAAGGATGGATACCTGGTGAATGGGATAAATCAACAAAGGCAAGTCGACTACGGAGACATATAGTGGTCGTTCCCTGCACGTACTCCAGCCTGTACATGCCGAACACAGCGACGGAAAAGCAACGAGGGAGAGCAGGAGTTTATTCAAGTGATTAATTATTCCAATGTAAAAGAGCTATACAAAGACGGTTGATTTACGCCCACCTCAGTTATCGGCACCTTCGAGCCAAGGGTCCTGCAATAGCTCTTCGGCAGTGGCTCGATCATCGGGATTGAGGCGCAAACAGCGGCGCATGAGCGCTGCCATTGCGGAGACATCATTGGACGGCATGGCCTTGGCATTTCTGCCGATCACGTCCTCCAGAGGCCACTGGAATATGGGAGGCTCTTTCTTCAGCTGACCTACATGAATCGTCAATCAACAGACATTCGCGGCAAGCGGCAAGTTAAGGGCATACAGGTCGCGTTAAAATACTCGCCCGCCAGCGGGCAGACGCTGAGCTGTGCGGCTCGGAAACTCTCGTCACTGGTTAACAAGATCATTTGGTACAGGATGTTTTCGACCTCTGTCAGGCCGTGCTTTTCATTGACCCTGTACTTGAAGAGGGAATGGGACACAGCGAGTTCGTAGACCTAGTAACAACTATCAGCGATATCAAGCATTGAAGCATTGCGAGGCGAACCAGACATCCAAACGACCAGATGTCCGCTGGTGTGTCCCATTGGCCTCCGAGAAATGCTTCCGGGGCTCGCAAAGGCACCGTCGTGATGGTTCGATCGTCGTGAAGCTGGGAAGGCTGCGCTGTATGAGATATACGATCGTGAGTGGTACTCCCAGCAGGTAAGAAAGTAAACGGCCCACCGCAGCCGAAGTCAGACAATACATAAGTGGCGCGGCGAGCGAGCTCGTCGGAAATCATGGGCAACGGCTGAGAAACGGCAGCTTGCACAACTCCGTCCTGCGACATTTCCGGTGGATGTCGTCGCGACGGATCCGCTTTCATCCAGCGCTCGATGTCCGTGGTCTCCACATCCGTGGTAAAGAAGATGTTGTCGTGTTTGAGATCGGTGTGCACGATGCCACGGCTATGCGCGTGAGCGATGCCGCGTAGAAGATGGAGAATGATGCGCTTGGCCGTCGGGAGCTCAAAAGGGTGTTCGCGGGAGCTGCTGAGAGCTTTCACGTCGCCCCCGTAGACGGGGAACACGAAACACATATGAGAGCCGGCGGATCCGCGGCCGGGGATGGTAAACTCGTCCAAGAGTCGGACACAATGCGGGGACGGAGCGGCCGCAGACACGAGTCTGAGAGCTTCAGCTTCCCAATATGCACCGCTCTCGTTCAGTTCGGTTATATGGCCAGTGAGCGCCTTCACTGCAACGAATCCGTTCCGCCTATGTTTTTACTGAGCAAAAGCCTTTCCATGGATGGACAGCGCTCACCCTTCGTCGCGAGCCAGCCAGGTGCTAGAATGCATGCCCCAGCCCAGCTTCCGCAAGATCGTGTACCGGTGGTCATCTCCGATAGTGTCGCCGAATTCAAATTGTGCCCAGCCGTAGCCTTGTGCTGCTGGCATCCCCAGAGCTTCTGAAGCAAAGGACAAGTCGACAACAGTCTTGCCTTCGGCATCGACGGAGAGGTGCTGGTTCGTCGGTTCTGTGGAGGTCGACATGTGGCGAAGTCTTGCCCAAGTGCGAGGGAGTAGGTGAGGTCGCCAAAACGCTGCACGTAGCATGGGGCTTTAAAACGAAACGACGCCCACAGGGCCACACTGCTCATTACATAACCTTGATGGATTGATCAATATCAGTCACAACGTCTAAATCTAGAAACATCGTCCCACGAATGGAGCACCGCAAATTTGCACGGATAGGTACGGCATGGTCTAGCTCAAGATTCATGAACGGCGGTTGTACACGCACTATCGTTTTCCCTGTGCCTCTCGGAATTCCGCGGTAGAAGTTACACTGCCGTTTGCGGACTTTGATAAAGGCAAATCATAATGTCGGCTTTCGCTGTTGTGCTCAGTCAAGCAGTTTTAGGACGACGCCAAACTGCAGTGCATAGAAAAATACCCTGCGGCAAGCGGAGGAGCAGAAAGATTGCCAGTGCGGTCCCAAAATGACCGTTTAGCTCTACCCCGGCACCACAGTGGATTCATTCTGAATTTGGCCACATGGCTACTAGCTACCGTTGCAAACATTGGCGCAGATATATATGTGTAGATTGTACGGAGAGACTTCGGCTCCGTGTCATAGGTCAGTGCATGCATGCCCTATGGTATGGAGGCCGGTTTTGTTCTGACAGTCGCATCATGGCTCCGCTGGTTGTGATGTTTACAAAACGCGACGGCGTGGTGATGAAGGAAAATATCAGGGATCTTCGACTAGCTCACGAAGGACCACCCTGAAATCACTGCTGCGTGAAGAAGGACGCTTCCGCCTGACGTGGGTGGACACTGGATACCCTCTCTGGAATGGTGCAGGCCTTACAGCCAACGGAAGCTATTAAAATGATGAATTGTCGACTTGTGGGTCCTAGGCAGCGTATTGTTCTCTAATACCTCCTATCGCCTAGTTCGCGTTGCTGTTGTAATTGTAAAAGGGTAAGATCTAGTTATAGCCAACGGAAGCTTCTTGAAATGATGAATAAAACTTGTGGATCCTAGGAGGCGTATTGTTCTCCAATCCCTTCTATCGCCTAGTT